TTAGCGAGACTGGCAAGCGGTTAAAGATATTGCGCGAAAATGAAGAAACAATGTTGCAATTAGTTGGCATTAAAGTTAGCGAATAACAGCTATTTGCATTAGCAGAGCGAGCAGGAGACCAAGCCAAATTACAATGGCTGCGTTGCAAACTTAAGTCGGCAGAGGAAAATGGCAAAAGTGAATTATAGCGTAGACACATAGTAGGTAGCTTTTGGTGCCAGATGTATTTGATTGGCACTCAAACTAATTTTGTTGGGTTTGAAATAAAGTAATTTTTTGCTTACCTTAAAATCAATATCTGAATGACGATTCTCTTTCAGATATAAATTAAAAATACAATCAAAATTTCCTGTAAATTAAATTTTTTTTATTATTCTTAAGTTATTTTTTACTCAACTATTTTTAACTTAAGTACTTAATTTATTTGGAAATTTTAACTAAATACATGAGAGTTGAAGTGTTAGAGATGAGCACTCACTTTTTTGCCAGCAACTGGCGTTATCGCTTCTAATTCACTTAGTGTTTTACTTTTATTTACAATATTTTTATAGTAAATTTTTTCATAATTGTAGTACATAGTCGTAAATATAATAGAGCTATGTTACTATATTTTTTTATTTTTTTTTTTTTTATGTTAAGAAGAATGCATTATTTTAATATAATAGACAATTCCAATTAGATAACTTTTTATTGAAAAATAAAGGAAAGTAATTTTTTTCTGCAAAAATATAACTCAGTCGAATTTTGAGTAAAATTTGGTAATTACATATGTTTAACGCATATCACTGTATTCCGCATAAAAAAGAAATATTTCATATTACATATTATGTATTAGTTAATTGCTTTTTACAAAAATTATAAAATGTTTAACTTTGTTATAATTTTTTGATTTTATGTTAATTTAAAATAACTAGTCATTTGTTTTTAACTTAATGCCTATACATATTACTTACTTATGGGGCATTCCAGACGAATTCGGACACAATTTATCTTATGTGTCTTCGATTTTTTATAGATTTTACGTTGTGATTGCAATTGTGAGAGGCCTCCCTGATTAAACAAACTTTTTTTGATTTCTTTAAATGCCCATAACTTTGTGAAAAATGGGTCGACTGGGAAAACCTTTTTGTATATATATATTTTTTCAAAACACTTGAAATATTTAGATATAAATCCGAAAAAAATTTCAAAAATTTAGTACATATCTATAAAATGCTGACTTGAAAAAAAACACTTTCTGATTGATTTTCTTGAAAATGTATTTGTATTTGTTGTTTGTGGCCTTATAACAATTCTGTTGTGGATTTTATGAACAAAAACCAACAAAAACAACAACTCCATGATCAAGTGTAAATAGCAGCGGAATAGCTGCGTTTAATTTTAGTTGGCTTAACAAATGAAAAAACTGGAAAAAGCATTAACAGTTTACGTAGCGAACTTAGCTCAGCGGGTGGACTGCTGGCTATGGCGGCTGGAGTCGTTGGATCGAATACGAGTTGAAAGAAGTCTGATGAGGAGACGTGGTTATCTCCGAAATAGCAGCAAATAGCAGCTATAACTTCTACCACATGGTAAATTGTATTTTTTTTACAAAAAATTTTCACTAAAAGCGGTCTCAAGCTCAATAAAATAATCAAAAATTTATTTAAAAAAAAACTCTCACTGAGCCAGCAACTTTTTAGCTAAGTCCGATAAGGGGATAACAATAGGATGTCTTTTTCATACTTTAAAATTAAATGAATTTTAAAATTTTGCCAACTTTTAAATTTTAATTGTTTAATTTCAAATCAAAAGATAAAATAATTTTATACTTATTCCTAAGGGTTTTCATAGTGAAAATTTCCAAAAACAAAATTAATTATTTTTTCAACAAGCGATATCTCAAAAATGGATAGGCGAAAAAAATAGCCTCTATTAGTTGGTCTACAATATAGAAAATCTAAAAAAAAAAATAAATAATCATACATGCACAGACCAAATTTTCTAAAGATTGAGCTAGAATGCCCCATATATTTATGGTTTAACCTTCGGAAAACGAAATCATAAGGCAAAAGAACAAATTTCTTTATTTGACTGGCTCGCAGACTCGGTCTTGAAAAATAAAAATATATGAGTTAATACTTTACAATGAGTGTCTATTTCTGCAACTTGTCAAACATGGGTAACTAAGTATTAGGTTTCTACTGAAAGTGGGATGCAATGCCAAGGCTATGCAAGCGATAAAGGCTGATGTGCCAAGTACTTAATTGGTTGTCCTGCCGAAACCGCCATGCTTACTAAAACATGAACCTTACCGTAGATGAAGGAAAAAACCTGGATGTGTGGTCAGCGTCGCCAGCGAAATAAAGTATGTGGGTCTGGGGATGTAGCCCAAGATTCAACGTCATGACAGTACAGCCAATAGTAACCTAAGGGCAGTAGCTGGGGTTAAAAGAACTACTCTGGCTAAAGGGAGACAATCGTAGACCAAGCTACAACGACTGGCCTATATATGCATATCTGGTATCAAAGAGTTCTGCTTTGCTTAGCTAGAGAAGTATTTGGAAGAGCTTAGATTATATTTTCTAAGAAAAGGTGAATCCCGGTCCTTCTAGCACTGTCCCCTAGAGATGACATAGTGAGAACCGTAGTCCTTGAAAAGTGGCTTGAAATATAGTTACGCGGCAAAGAAACCTGGAGCGTCTACGTCTATGACGATTTTCGACCGCAATCAGACGAAATTTTGCGCCATTTTGTAGCCGTGAACGGAATGTGAATGCATCACCATAAACCACGAAACAGTAAAAGCAGTAGAATTAATTACCCAGGTAAACGTTCTTAAAAAGGCCACGGCGGGTTTGTCCACCGACGACATGGTAACAGTTTTTGTCATACCTGTGGTAAATATTTCGAGTTTTATACGTTAAATAGATTCGAACAGTATTGCCGCATCAAAGATATTTTTTTCTATTGAAATTCCCGAAAAAATCTACAAAAAAAAATCTAAAAGTGGAAAACGACTCAAATTGTTTTGAACAAGGCCGAAAGAAAAGCACCTCATTTCGAAATTCCACTTCAAGAAAGGCAAGGATACAAAAATACTTTGTGCTAGAAACAGCCGTTCATGAAGGGTCCGATCAATCACGAAGAAAATTGGATAACATTAAAAAAATATTTTTGCGAAATCCTCCAAAAACAAAATTAATCTACCACAATTCAAATTTCGAAAACTATTTTCGAAAAAAATTTCTAGACTTCAACCAAAATGGCAACACTGTTTTCGACACCGATTTGAAGGAAATGTGATCGCATTTGTTAAAGAAAAACGTGCTTCTCCACCAAGAAAATGCAGGGATCGGACTTAAGGTAAAAATTTCTTGACCTAGGTTGCGAATTGCTATGGAGTACTTTCTGAATTTATAGTAAGTCGTTTGAGTACTGTTTCTTATTTCAAATCCTGAAAAAATGCCTCTATTATAAGAGTTTGAGTGGAATGAAGAGGTCACCACTGAATCAAACGACTATTTTGGTATAAAAAAAAACGCAAAAATTCTGAAGACTTAATGAGGCAATGTTGAAGACTAAGGAGTATGAGTAATAAATTACTTGATAAACAAAAAAAAGTTATTTGCTTCAAGAAGTCATTGTCTTTGTAAACTCTTGTATTCACTAGAAATCCCAAGAACTTTTAAAGTGCTTTGGGATTAAATATTTAAAATTAAAGTTAAAGATGGTTTGGTTATATAATACATACCAACTTAATTACCGAGAGAGAAGGATGACACCGCATCCCTTTCGGTGATTTTTTGAAAAAATTGATCACCAAATATTTTTACTTGCATTTCGATGGATTTTCTTCTGCTATTTTTGATATTTAAAATTATCTTAACTAACTTTAATTTAGTTTGTGTTTTTATTTTTTATTTTATTTTTTCTTCGTATCTCATCCTTACATTAAGCAACTTACTGGTAATTAACTACAGTGATAGACATAATGTAGCCACTGCAAGCCTATACTTAGTTTTTATATCAAAATTGAATGGGCTATGAAACTGAATACACAATTTTTTTCTTTCAATTTTACATAAAAAGAGTGAAATTTTCACGGAAGTTTGATGAATTTTAAACAATTTTATACAAATAATGAAATTTTGATTTATATGCGTTTTGTCGTGGAATGAACTTTACTTTTACAAAAAAATTATAAAAAAAAAAATTGTCTAAACTTATCAATATGTGTGTGACCTTATCATTATGTCTATACTATATTTGTTATCTTATCATTATTTTCATGCATTTACTTACTTTTTAGCTATTTTTGTTAATCAAAATTTCTCTATGTATTTTATTCCCTTGCGTTTTTATCTAAAAGAGACTTAACTAAATTACAATCTGGCAACATTTTTTCTTTCTCAATTAGTTATACTTTAAATTTACAAAAGATCTTTCTTATCATTTAAGTTCCACTATAAATGTATGTACAATTTACAAAAATCACTCCATATTTTTACTTTCTCATTTTCCATTTGTTAAAAGCCTAATCAAATTAGTTTGTGAAAATAGTAGTTTGATTTGTTTTTTACAAAATTATCGTTTTGAGTAAAAGAAAATCATTTGTAATAAAAAATTCTTCAAATTGATATTTTTGATTCTTTAATTTGTTAGTACTTAAATATGCATTTATATATTACTTAGCTAAAATTTAAAATATACTTTTTCCATCGGATTTTCATTACAAAATGCACTACACTCTTATCAGTTGTATATATTTACTATATCAAAGCACTAACTTAAACACACACTTGCACACATAGATAACTACATACAAATTTTGATTTACTTCCACATTTAACTGTTCTAATTATTTACTACATATGTACGTGCAGCAAGCACACTTACCTACATACTTATACTAAGTATAGAAAACGAAAAAAAATACACTCAAATGTGGCAAGTCCGTGTGTTAAATATTTTTGCTGCTCATCGAAAGTCGGCTCTCTAATTCCATAAAAAAAATGTTATTTTTTTTAATTCTCAGACTACTGCACATCATTACGGTTTTTTTTTCTATATTTTTTGTATTCATCCTAATTCGTTCACTTGCCCTTAACTATTAACACACGCCTATATACTTACTATAATTATACGCATATTTATATGTACATATGTACTTAAAAATATAGTTATGCTGCCGCCTATTCAAAGCCTCATTACATTATTCAACTTAACTAACTACTCGTACATATATGTGTTGGTGTAGTTTTGTGTGTCTGTCAGTGTGTGAGTATAAGTTGCTCCAGTTTCGCGGCCATATAGCGTGCTTACCCAAATAAATTTTTGTGTGTGTTTACATTTTGTTTATTTTTGTTTCCAGTCCCGCCTTTTATACTATGTAAACATACATACGTATGTATGTGTTCATATGTGTATGCGCAGTTTCACTTTGATGCGTCATTATGGCCGTTGTTGTCTCATCTGTAATTATCCCAGGTTTACATGTATATATGTCTGTAGTATTCGGTAGGCCATAGCTATTATGGCTATAATGCCATGCAAATGCGTTTGATATGATTTAGTCGAGCCGCCGACATGCCCATGATACATCGCTGCTGGATTATCACCTGTTGAGGAAAAATAAAATGTAAAAGCGCTAGCTTAGTTAAAATGTTTAGTAATGGCAGTGTAAAAAAAATTGCATGTTATTAGCTATTAAAAGCGATTACAACCAGATCATGAGCGATTAAATTTATTTTCTTTGTTTTCCTTTACATACGGACAACATATTTGTATGATTAATAATCGGTTTGACCCATAAAGTTTGTATGCTAAAGGTAGGTGGTGGGATTGCGCAAAACTACGAATCCAACATAATCCAACAATACGACATGACACGATACCAGAGCAATACGGCAACGTGTACCTGCATACAACCAACGAAAAAAGACACGACAACATGTGGCCCATCGTCATCATGTAACCACACGACCAACGAACCTCACACAGGCGGCCTATAAAAGAAGCGACACAACCTAACAGGATAGTCAGCGGCTGAATAGCAACAACCGTATGGAGGGATTGCTTGTGATTCTTTATATAACACCACAAGACACTACCACTCCGAAGCAGAGAACCATAGATCTAACCGAAGTGAGGTCGTCGGACGGAATCTCATTCTCCCGAGCTTAAAATCGGCTCCGGTATACCATCCGCCACAAGCTACCGTGAACTCACGTAGGGGCGACACGCGATCGTTCGCAATGTTCCGTTCACCAGCGTCAGCAGAGCGCCGTTCACCAGCGCTCGCACAGCTCCATAAGTAGCAGAGGAGCGTCGCAAAGATACGCCATTACCATAGCGTGTGAGCGAGACCTACTGGACCGCTACTGGACCGCAGACAAGATTCTGAATCATCTGAAAATCAACAAAGTCTAAGCGGTAGAAGTTATACGGGGTCTGCATAGCTCAGTGGTTAGCGCTTCTGACTTTGTACATCCGAGATGGGTTTTCGAACCCTGCTGAGGTCTAGAAAGAGAAATCTGATGAGGAGATGTGGTGATCTCCAAAATAGCTGCTATAGTTTCTAACGCGTAGGCTTTTTTTTATTTTTCCTAACAAACAGATCGTGGTACAAATCTTAATACCACGGTTGGAATGAAGTTTTAGTTTGTCTACTGAACCTTTTTACTACGTAATGTGGAAATTAGTTGTACAAAATATTAGGCAACCTTTTCTTTTAACAAAAACTTAATATTGCACTGTGACTTCTGAAATTAATGAACCGAAATTTTTCTTACAAATAAAGTTTAAAATTCGCTTTTTAAAACTAAATTTTATGGTTTCTTGTGTATTTGGCTTGACACTCCAAGTTCGTCGCTAACGGCTGCCATGTTTTCGGGAAGAAGTGCAGCAAATAGCGCTGAGAGCTCCACTTTTATGCGCTTTCTCTAGAATCCCTGGGATTATTTGAATTTAATGAACTCCTGTAAGATACCTTGTGACTTAAATTATGGAGGGAACACATGTCCACCCTATTGAATGGCAGCAGCTATGAAAGATGCCAGAAAGGCAAACCCGAGCCTCCAGTCGATGATGGAGGCGTCGATTTACAAGGTCGGTTACAATGTCTTATCGAGCTGGGAGAAAGACTGAAGCCCACCGTCAACGAACTTTTTGACCAGGTATTCATAATATGCCATTTCTTGTAAAAGGATTGACAGAGACCATATATTTGTCGATTTTAAAGCTACTTTCGACAGCGCGAAAAGAATTTTCTTTACGTCACAATGTCTCTTAGGCGGTTACAGAGTCAAAAAAGAAGAAGAGGAAGAATAAATAAGCTGCCATGGTTATTTATGGTTATGCATGGTAACGGCCACTTAAACCTAACCCCAAATCAGAACTCAGTTAGTAACATGGCCGCTGGCCGATAAAGTACTGTTATACTTTCGACATGAGGGCCGGGACACCATAGGGCTGTACGGCTGACAGTAAAAGACACATGTTTGCTATGGCAGCAAACATAAAATTTGCAAATGCAATTCCAATTGCAAATCCAAGAACATTTCCACAACATCCTGAAGAGCCCTAATATATTTCATCGGGACTTATTTGTCCACAGAGTCTGTATGTTGGCTTTATTTTTAGAACGATTATTCTGTGTGATTCTATTTTTAACTCCACCCAGTCGAAACTCCTCGAACTTAGAATTCGTTTACGAAGCCAATTCAAGTGATTTTAAGGGAAAGTAAAGATACAAAATTTGAGTTTTCAGAGAAAGAAACTAAGGAGGTATACGTGTGTATTCCAATTATTTCGTCATTTTATGCTTAGAAAGTTTAAAATTGGGAAAATTTAAATATCACAACTTCGAATTCGTAATGAGTTTAGACGGTTTATGTAGATGTTAGCATATAACAGAATGCATGCAGCGATATAACCGCGATGACGCAGGCAAACAACGTATCTATGCGTAATCGAAATTGTGGCATGTGTGGAACAGTTAAATAACTATGGCAACAATGAGAGTTACATGTAGCAAGCAAACAAACGCTTAACCAATGCGTTATTTGCCGAACACTAAAAGCGTTGCTTTGGCTACATATGTACAAATTCTGTTGTGCATTCGAATATTTCAATACAACACTGCTGTCGTTGTGGTTTTGTCAATCTGTGCAAATACACAACCATACAAATGCTAGCCAACACAATACGAAGTTATATAGATAGTACATATATATGTATGTATTAGGGTGTTCCTTAAAATAGCTACGAAAATTTCAAAGTTTCAAAAATATTTTTAGGGGTCGATACCAGGGTTTGAAAAAATTTTAAATTTTTTTAAATTGCGAAAATTTCACATAATTTTTACTAGAAATCTGATAAGTTTAAACAAATTCATAGACTCGCTGGTTTACACATAGCTGGTCAAAGTCAATATTTTGGTAAATTTTTTACGATTTGAAAAAAATAAAATTTTTTTAACCTTGGTAGCGATCTCTGAATTTTTATTTTTCTTTTATTTATTTATTTTTTTTCTTTTGTGGTTGCCTTTACTTTGCACGTAGAGCCACATAAAACTGCGCCCTATGATGTTGATATTTTGACGGCCACCCTAGTATGTATTTTGTATATCGATTACATAAGGAGATACATAGTATATGTACGCTATTGTCATCGCTGACGCATTCGCATCTTTCGCTAGCCATCAACACCCATGTCGCCGGTTTGGCCACAGGCTTTTGTGTGTGTAGTGTGGTATTTGTACAAGCAATTTATTTGCATGTGTATATGTTTGCCTTAAGCGAATGTGGGTTTATTTTACTGTTGAGTGACTGACTGACTGCGGTTTTTGCGGCGCTTGACAACATCACATACGCAAACTAACGCACAGATACTGTACGTTTGTATTTTGGTTTGTAGCATTTTGCCAACGTTAAGCGATGCGTTCGGTATTTGTGGCAGCACGTAGTCTTTTTACATGACTGCAATAGTATGAATGTACATTAGAGTGCATCACTCTCCATACAAAAAAAAAAAAAATAAAATAAAATCGGTACCATTTTATCATTGGAACTATAAAATGTGTTATATTTTAAGACCTATGCTGAAATATTTCGGAAAAATATTAAGAACTACGTAAACCGGTCCCATTTGAAAATACCCCCAAAATCGACTTTTTATAAATAAATTTAGTTTTTCAAAATTCTTCTAAAAAATTGCTTCAGTGCATAGAAAAGTAAAGCTCGAAAGCTTGGAAGCTTTTTATAAATTTTATCAACGGGATGAAAATAACGATATTTTTTTCAAACACATTCTGGCCGAAGTCCTAAAATATAAGTTTTATGATTCCTGTAGGAAAACCGCTACCTTTTTTTTAGTGATGCACCCTAATGTACATATGTATATTTACAATCCCATATATGGCAGTTAGTTTTCTGGCGACGTTTTGCTTCACAAATATGCGCATGCGAATTATCTTCGTACCCTAACAGAGTGTAGGCTTAGGAATTTGCCGCCAATGGCATGGAGTTCGCGTAGTTCATGGTTTTGCAATTTTCATAAATTACTTTTATTACACGCGCACACAGAAAATATTTTATTTGTCATATGCATGCTTGTGGTAAGCGAATGCTGTAGCAAACTTCAACGACCGCACGCAGAAAGCCGGCAAATCAACGGCGTTGAAACAAAATTACAAATATGCTAAAAAAAAAAATCAATTTCTTTAAATACGCCACGTTTTGTATTACATTTAAATTCATTCGGCATTCAGTACGCAATTTGCATCAGCATTCAACAAGCTACAACAATCAGCATACACAATTTTGGTATAATTTTTATGTTTAGCGTTTTATGTTGCTACATTTTTATTCGCAATACCATGCGGACGTTCGTAAGTCACTAAAATACACACAAGTATGAACAGAGGCTTATATGTATGCACATAAATACCCCAATGCGCACACTTGTATATAAATAATTTATTTTAATGTGTTAACACATTAAGTGCAGCAGAATTTACAACTCGACTTTTTATCGCATTTTTTTTTTAGTTTAGTCAGATGTTCCGGAAAAAAAATTTTACTGGAAAATGGTGACAGCAGTTTTTTTTTTTAACTTCAGAATACATGTGGCTTTAGAAGTGGATTCAATTATGTATTGATGTGTATGGATAAGTGTGTGGTATACTTACTGATACATACTTATATTTATGTATTCAAAGTTACGATTTATAAATACCATAATGCTTCATATTTAGCAATGTCTAGGTTGGATTGAGCTACATTAATGTGCCAGTTGATTCAATTTACCAACTCACTTACATAGGTCTTGCAGGTCCATTGGTAATGGGTTGTACGCTAGGTTTGGGATACGCTACATGAAAATAGGCTACAAAGAAATACAAGAATAATCCCTCGGAGGGGACCCCCTTTTGACTACGATCACAGCAAACATTTAAAGGACTCAGTTTTGATGGTATGCACCTGTACCTCGGCTAGCTGTCATCAGCGCGAAAATGCGAAATGTATTGGACGGGGCAAAGATCCACTGTCGGAAAATTCAGCTTCTGCGATGCGATATCCGATAACGGAATGATGCCAGTTAATGCGGGTCGCGATAA